TTTTTTTTTCTTTCTCCTTATAAAAAAAAAGTGTTTCTACATTCAAATTCTAACAAACATTTTTAATAGGATTGCATAATAATATGAGAAAATCACAAGCAATATTTTGTATTAGAAATTCGTAATAAAAGTCTTTTAGATTTTTCATATACAATAAAAGACAACAATAGAAAAATGTTAGAAAATTTTTTTTTTTTTTTGCTTTTTTGTTTGTTTATTTTTTTTGTTTTTTTTTATTGTTATAATTTTATGATAATTTGGGGTTATGTTAGAGTGTTTGATATTTTCATGATTTTCTACCAAGAGTTTTAAAATTAATATGGTTGTATTTATATATAAGAGATTTTTCTGTTAAATAAAATGTAAGCAGAGGTAATTAATGTAATATGTGTAGGTATGTATATTTGTACGTGAATGTGTACATTTTTTAAATTATTGTGAATATCAAGTGCATAATTCATGTTGTATAATTTTCCACCAGAATCTTAATTTATTAGATAAATATTAAATAAAGTTTAAATTTTAATTTTATTTCTAAGAATCTCAGTAAATTTGATATTAATTTTAAATTAACATTATAACAAATGTGGGCAAACATATATATATATAAATACAATATTCTATTGTTTAAGAGTAAAAAATTTTTTACCCACATACATACTTCGTAAAAAAATTAAAAATTAATAAAAGTTAACCATGGCAAATATAAGGCAATGCCTCTAAGTATGTACATTTTACTTATTTTTTATATTTTAAATTAAGTGAGAATGTGTTTAGGGTGCAGGAAGGCTTGCAATTTTTTGGTTTTTCTATTACACTTTGATAACAAATTAATTGCGTTTACACTTAAGCAATTAAATTAATTTGAATCTGTTGTAAAATTTTGATAACACAACTGAATGAGTGTGCGTTTGAATATAAACCTATGTATATGGAATATAAAATAAGCAATCAAATAGTTGTAAAATTATTAAATGACATGTCTGGTTGCATTCTTACTGTTTATAAATAAAAATTGAAAAAAAATTCAATTCTAAACTGAAGTGTAAAAAAACGAAATTTAAAGATAAATTTTTGTATTTTCATATTCACAAATTAGCAACATATAAATACACTAATAAACTATAGTTGTTAATTTTATCGGAAATATTAAATTCTAACATTAATTTTTAAAAAAATTAAAAATTTAAAAAATTTTACAATAAAAATTTTTCAAAATGTCATTTTTAAAATTTTCACTCTAAACTTTAATTTTGAGTTTCTTTTCGAGTAGTAAAAAAAGAAGAAAAAAAAAGCTCAAACAAAATGGATGTATAGTGAAAAAATACCGTTATCAATATATTATGAGTTGGATTTACAATATTTTTGAAATTTTTCGAAATAATAGAAATTTCGAATAAAATAATATTATTAAAGACCATTTAATAAAATCTAGTATTTTTCGTATTTACAATTAATAAATAATAATTTTTTTCCAATATATCAATAATAATTTATTAACATGAAGTCTGTTTGTATGTACGATATGTGAACACGTCATTATAATGTAAATATAAAATATGTTTCGACATTATATCATTCAATATAACAATATTATACCAACGTAATGAATACATTATTATTATAAATTCAAGTACATTTATTACAGTATTAACATATATATATTATACATATATACATTATAATATATACACATTTACCTCTACCTAGACTTTATATGTAGATATTTTGAAAAAAAATCTTAAAAATAGATCCGCTCTATTTATAAAAGAAAAAAAGTAAATTTTTATTTCCGCAGTTATGGGCTCCTTATATTAATAGGCAAATTGATTTAATCCAGTGTTGTCATTTTGAGTTTTTTTTTTTCCTATAATTTTTGTCTACTTTTTTTTATTTTAATCTGCGAAAATAAGAAAGATGAAAAAAAATTTAAAAAAAATTGTAAAATTTTAATATTTTCTGAGTGGAGTCCATATTTTATTCTTTATTCCGATATTAACAACATATTTATACTTTTTTTACGGCACAAGTAATTTTATTTTACCTTTGTTTATAAAATTGTTATACGAAGTACAAGAATTTGCAACTACGTGTACTACATTCACGTTGAAGATAATTTAAATTGCATCCGCATGATTATAATATTTATTGATGTGTATGCATGTGTATTTGTACAAATTTTTTAAAATATTATCAATGGATAACATTTAATATTATATTTCTTAACATTGTTTTGTTTAATGGCTGAGAAATACAAGTTATGTGAATAATAAGTACACGTCTTATTTAATTTTAAATTATTGACATGTTTTTTTCGTTAATTGCTATTTTAAAATTTCAAATACGATTGTGTATATTTTTGCATACATAATTATACGAAGTTTCTATATAGAGAGTTATTTTAAATAAAACATGAGAGTTTATTTGCTCTTATTTATAAATTAATAATATTAGTGATTACATATTGTAGGTGCATATTTAATATAGTTTACAAATCAATAACGTAATATTGATTATGCAGGCCTCTTGTATGGTTATGTACATTGTATACAAATTGCATACATATAGGTGCTATTATATTATTATCCCTTCCATTCTTTAAAAAATATTTATAAATTGCAGCGAATAAACGTAAAAAATTTATAATATAATAGATTTTTTTAAAGCAAAGTATTAAAGCAGAAAATTTTTTAAAACAAATGTGATTTCTATTTGCCTACAATAATGTAAAAAATGTAAATAAATGCTAACTCCATATTTTTAAATTTACGCACACCCATCCATATTCATATATAAAAATATCCAATATATATGTATAAATATGTAGAATGTACAATAAAAGGAGAATGATGATATTATACAAAATATTTAAGATCTTATTCTAAAGTGGCGTAATTTACGTAATTTCCTTCTCTACAATATTTTACCTTTTATTTTAAAAAGAGTAAAAAAAAACTCAATACCTATGGGTATTGGGGGTAATGATTAAACTGAATTTAATCGTAAGATAACAGGAGTACAGTTTTATTCAAAACTGTTATTAAAAAATTATTATATTTTTTTTTTTAAATAAAATTTGGCAATAAAATTCTTCTTATCTTCTTACTATAAAAATCATTTTTTAATATTGTGTACATACGTACATATATACAATCATTCCTTTGTATACCATAGCCAACAAGAAAATGTAAACATAAAAAGAGAAAATAATGAGAGCAAAATAAATTTTGTTTTAGATGAAAATTTTTTACATTGAATTTTTACAATGAATTTTACTATAAAGAAAATAATAGTGTTCATGCATAACAGTACAGCGTTATATGAAGATGGTAAAAGGTATTCAATGTATTGTGTTCAAAATTATATTGGAACATTGAAGTTTGTATGTGTATCATTGATATAGGAACATTATGTTCAAATCTCTATTTAAGCAAAATCAAATAATATTTTAAGTATCCGATCATAATTCAATTGAAATTAATTAAAATTAGAAATATTTTTAATGTAAAAACTTAATTTTTAATAAATAAATAATTGTGTTAGCAATGCAACTGACAGATGGGTAATGATAATTTTTTTTGTTTATGATAATATGTATTCACAATATGTATTACTGCAAATATATGATCAGAATGCATTATTTTATGTATTACATAAATGTTCACTTATTCCTATTTGAAAGACTTTACTGGATGACTACTAAAAGACTAAAATTAAAGAATTTTATACACACAACCATGGTATCAAAAACTTTATTCTACTCACCAAACAAAATTTTATTTTCGATTTTTGAATACAGTATGATGACGATACAAATGAACAAATCGATTTGTTCTGTATACAAAGTACTCGCAGAAACAAAACAAAAAAAAAACTTTTGAATTGAAAAAATGTAGAAACACTAAAAAAAATCGTCGCGAACTTTATTAAGAAAAATTTTGTAAAGAATATTTTTAGGGTGCCATTGGGTGCTAAAGTCGAATTTAATCAACAAATACCAGGAAAACAGTTTATTAAAAATTCTAGAAGACCAATTTTTCTTAAATGAAAAACAAAATGTAAATAATTTTTGTTGTTAAGAAGAAGTATATAGAAGTATTAGCAAAGTGGCTAGCTTGAGCAAATTGAAAAATACAAAAAAGCAAAAACAAAAACTGTATTCTATTTGTGTATGTAGATGTGTAGATTTTAAATAAAACAGAAAAATTATGTATTCGAGAGGTACAAGTTTTCTAGTTAGCATTGAAGTTGGGAAATATTTTTTTTTTATACACATATTTTATGTATGTATGATTGTAAGTATAATGTGTTTATACTGTGTTAATATACTTAATGATATCGCAAGCATTCATATATATATGTACATAAGTATGTACATACACATGTATTTATAGAATTTGTTGGTATAAAGAATGAAAATAATGGTACATTATTAATGGTAAGTAAAAATTAAAATATTGTAAATTACATTTTCAATTTGCAATTTTTATTATAAAAATAGCAAGTCTGCCATTGATAAAATGTAGTACTTATTGATTGGAAGTATATTTTTTAGGACAATTTACAAATTCACATTATTAAATATTATTTACATATGTATCAAAATTTCATCTATTGATAACAGGTGAAAAATGTATAGGCAAATGTATAATGTATTTTTCACAACTATTTTCTGATTTTAACATTGTACTATAATTATATTTGAATTAGCACAAAACTCGGGTATTAAAGTTTCTAAGCTAAATTTTGCAGTCTTATAATATGATTATTAGGTATTCCGTAGAAGAGTATTGAAAATTTTTCAGTTTATTTTAAATTTTATAAATTTCATAGGAAATTTATGTTTGCTATAAATTTAATAAAATTTATAGATAATTTTTAAACAATTTATGTTTGCTATAAAATGGTTTAAATCTTTGATATTTTGGAATAAAATTTTTAATTAATATATTTCACACTTGGCAGTGTTTTTTATTATGACATTAAAATAGATATTGATTGTTTGACATTGACATCTGGCGTTTCTTTCCGGTTCAAATTTTGATAGAGAAACATCAGAAAAAATGGTAATTACAGAAAAAAAATCAATTTTAATTCAAATAATCTTTAGTAATATTATATTTTTATTAAATGATATCCCGAAAATTCAATATTTACTTTAGATTTCATGAAATAATTTATCTAAATTTCTTAAATATAGATATTAATAAAGTTAAATTAATTGAAAATTATTTACTTTTTGTTGTTTTAGGCCAAACGTACTAAAAAGGTTGGAATTGTAGGTAAATATGGTACACGTTATGGTGCCTCACTACGTAAAATGGTTAAAAAAATGGAAATTACCCAGCATTCTAAATATACTTGTACGTTCTGTGGTAAAGTAAGTAGAAAAGTTAAAAATGAATAAAGTGTATTAAATTTACATGCATATTTATATATATATATATACATATATACAATTTGTTTACAAATGAATTTTATTTTAGGATGCAATGAAGCGTGCTTGTGTAGGTATTTGGTCATGTAAGAGATGTAAACGTGTAGTTGCAGGTGGTGCCTGGGTTTATTCCACAACAGCTGCTGCTTCAGTAAGATCAGCTGTCAGACGTTTAAGAGAAACCAAGGAACAATAAGCAAATTTTTTAATTTATGTTAGGCGCCTAAGTTAATATTTTTAAATAACATATTTGTGCGTAACTGTCAAAAGATCTGGCGCACTTGAAAGATGTAAAACAAGACAGCAATGAATGATCACTAAAGTGAAAAATTAATAAAGATTAAAGTGATAAAGTATACATTGTTTTTAATGGCTTTATTTTAAGTATCTTACATGTAAAATTAAAGCATGTTTTGAAAGTGCTATTGAAGTCCATGTAGACTTAAAATTCCTTGTTCGGCTAGGTTTCTATAAACGATTATATGTTATTTATGTATATTCAGTGTTGAAACACAACGTATGTGTGTATGTATATAAATCAAAGTTTCCAATTCCAGATATTAAACATAGTAATTAATTTGACAAAAATACTAATATTTTTGTAATGTCAAGTTGCATACTAACTCAAAATTGCAAAATAATAGTGACGTACTCCCTACAAGTTAGAGTTTGTATATTACGATTTTAAATTATCAAATTTTTAGAAGAAATTTAAATGCAAAATTTGAAGCTCTATTATTTACTGGTATCTCGAAAAAGAAGCTAGCTTGATATACTTATTTAGTATTGTATATTATATTGCTACAGCATTGAGAAAATGTGTATATATCTACCTATATAAGTTTATAATAATTGTTTATTCTATTAAATATCAATGTTTTTCAAGTATCAATAGTTAAGACTTAATTTTCGGTTTAAAAATAATTAAGAAACCAGTAAAAAAATTAATATACGAGTAAAAGCCAATTTTAGGTGACATAAATGAATCAACATATTTTTGTATTAGCATTTTATTTCAATTTCCAGATACCCTTAAAGCTCTTTTAAAACTTGATCTCAATTAAATCGTTCAAAATGGGAAGAGGGTCAAGGAATATCCTATTCTAATTTTTATTTCGTATTTCTTGTCTTTATATACTTATATTTATATATATATATATAATACACATAATTTTGCATATATATTGGCGTGAATTTAGAAGGCCGATGCATATTATGTATACTTTTATCAAAAACATTTCGAAAACAGCATCAATAAATTTATATGTGGAGCAAAAAAATTTTAAAACATTGTGGTAATGCGACCTCAATATTGAAGGGTCTAAATTTAAAGTACTTTCGATATATCCAGACTATCTTGGAAATATTCTACTGCAAGTTCGAAAATGTCTGTTGTGCTTAATGTTCTAAATATTATAAATTAGAAGAGCATAATAGAAAAATATTAGATAATGATGAATTACTCGAGCATGTTATACACCTGCAAAAGTAGAATAATTAGTTTCTGCAGATTTAATTGGTATGTATGAAAAAACTTAATTTGGAACATTCAGTGCATTTCTGAATTATCAAAAATTTGGAGATACTAAAGAAGATTATCAATTATTATAATATGATTAAATAAATTGAAATTATAATAAATATGAATAAATTTAATCAAAATTTTTGGATGAAATTGTTAATAAGGAAAAAAATTAATCGGCATTAAAATTTGTTTTATGTTTTAAGAAATTATGATTAAAATGTTTTTCTTACAAAAATGTTTATTTATTTCTTTTTTCTTTTAATATAATTTTATATAATATATATAATATAATATTAGTTCGTTTTTAGGGTTGCTTTTATATAATTTCTTATAAGAAACTATTCTTAATTTACAATCTTATCTAACTTAATTTTTGTTGTTTTTAATATAAAAGATTTTCTAATATTTTGTTTTTTTTTTTTAATATTTATTTTTTGTATTTTTATTTTAACTATTTTTTTTTTTCAATAATAATAGTATAAATTGCACCATCACCGTAAAATTAATTAAATAATAAATTCACAGAAAAAAAATAAAAATAAACAAAAAAAAAGTAAAAAAATTATTTTATCCTCAAGCTCAAATTAAGTAGGAATTATTTTTTTTATATTTATCTATATTTTTATAATTTTTGTTTTTATGTATTTTAGGTTTTTTTTTTTTTTGAACTTGAAGAAATGATTTTCTTTTTTTGCGGTATTGTTTTTTTTTTAATATTATCATTCTATTTTAAATATACGTACTTACACAATATATTTTTAATATATTCATTTTAAAATTTTAACAGAGATATTTAAAAAAAAATTATTCTTATAAACAATAAAATATAAACACATTATATAAAATTTATTTTATTAATAATATTTTAAGTAAAAATATTTTATATTTTAGAAATAAATTTATTTTAATTTTCTTTTATTGGAAAATTAACAATGAAAAATAATAAAAATACATATTATTTATATTATATTGAATATGTATTTTTTATAATAATTCTAAATAAATAGTGGTTGTGACGAAAACGAATGCTAGGGAATAAAAAAACAAAATAATTTTTTTTTCTTGATAATTCTAAAAAATTTTGAAATGACGATCTTATATTTTTACATTTATTTAATTTAATAATTTAGTAAAGAAAGTTAATTAGGTAGATTAGTTTAGAAAATATTTAAAGTGATTAAATATTGAGAAATATATTATTTATTTCCATTATTTATTTGTACAATTTATATGTGTTATTTGATTGAAGTGATGCATATTTATTTAATAAAATTTAAAATATTTCAATATTATAATGTATTTATAAGCGTATTTTTTTTTGTTGTAAAAAGTACTATTTAAATGATTATTTCATATATCAATTTTTAATATGGATTGGAGTTAAAAAAATGGAAAAAAAAAATTTTATAAGATAGACAAACAATAAATTTTTTATTTAATTTTTATTTTGTTTTGCATATAATAAAAACGTGATGTTATGTAATATTATAATAAAAATTTGAATTATTAAAATTTACTTTTTAAAAATTTAAAATACTATATGCGAAAAATTTAATATTCTTGAACTAGAAAACCTTGTAAATTATTAAATTTTGATAATAAAAAAAAAAAATAAATAAAAAATTGTTTTGAAAAAATGAAAAAAAAATAGAACAATTTTCAATCGCCAATATTTTAGAATTATCAATAATGTATAAACAATATAGTGGCTATTTTAATTTATAATACAGATTTTTAAAATGTATTTATTATAATTATGTACAGATAATATTTTAAGGGAATTTATATTTATATATTATGTTAAAAATTCATTATTGAATTTAAAATTTTATAATCTTGTAATTTTTTCTTATCTTTTTTTGTAAATTTTGTAAGATTACGCAGTTTTTGCATTTCTTACAAAATTTAGATATGGAAATTTCTTAAATTCTAAAATACATTTTTTTTATACTATTATAAAATAATATAATTAAAATATTACTATAAAATAATTACAATTAAAATTAGAATTTTTCTATTTTTTTATTTATTTTTTTTTTTTAATAATAGTTTTGTTTTTTTTTTTTTTTTGTTGTTGTTTGTTTATATTAAAATCTAACTATAAAATATTTACAAAATATTTAAATAAATTTCTATTATATACTTTTTTATTTAATTTTAAGGTTTCTTATTTATTTAAAGAATATCATTTAATTATTATATATATATATATAAATTAAATCATATACATATATATGTAGATATATTTTATATAGGTATGTATAAAACTAAAATAATATATTTTTTTTATTTAAATCGTTTTAACAAATTGATTCATAAAATTTGTGCAAAATTTTAATTTTATACATACATACGAATATGTAATATAATATATATATATATATTTCAATTTACATACATGCATATATCAAATTATTTAATAAAATAATAATAATTTACAGCAATATGAAAATTTAAATTAAAATTTTTAATTAAACCTCAATTATTTATCAAATCTTTTAAATATTTTTAATAGTAGATTTTCATCTAAAAATATTATTAATTTTACTTTTTCGTTTTCTATAGGTTTAAAAAAAAAAAACATTTCTAAATTATTTATTAATTAAAACAAAGTTTCGGTGACTTTGTATTCAGAGATTTAAGAAAAATTGTTTTTTTAAATTTTACTATTGAATAATTTAGAGGGATTGACACAATAAAACAAAACTCACAATTAAAACTGAAAATAAAAATACTGTTTTTCATATTTTATATAATTGAGGCTAGATTAAATAATATTTAAAATTTATTAAAAATTGATAATTATATTCTTTATATATTTTGTTTTAATATTTTAATTTTTACTTTTAATGTATTTACATATTTATCATATTTAATAAATAACAAATGATTTGCAAAAAAATAAAAAAAAATTGGTAAAAAAATAAAAGAGACAAACTTAAATATTTATTGAAAACTTGAATTTTATATTTTTCTAATTACATTTATGTTTAATTATGTATAATATTATATAAAATGGCAGAATATTTTTACGTTCTACGATACAAGCCTTTAATATTTTATTTATTTAAATAGAAAAATTAAAAAAATTTAAATGAAATTTTGTGTGTTTTTTTTTTTTAAATTAGTTTTATTAAGCGTTAAAGTTTCATTACAAAAAAAAAAAAAAAACTAGAGAATGAAAAAAGAAAATAATTTTATATAAAATATTCCAAGAAAACTTACTGAATTTAAATACTGCAATATTTTTTCTTTTTTAAACATAATTATTTATTATATATGAATTTATTTAAAATATAAGCGATATAATGTGATATGTCGATTTTTAAGCTATAAACAGCGTTATCAATGATAATGTTAATTTTTATACAATTTTTTTTTTAATGGAAATTGTTTGCAGTATTCTTTCTATTTTAATTTATAATGCTATATTTATATTTTTTTTATAAAGTTTAAGAAATGGAAGTATTTTGCATCAAAAACATGAAATATTCTTTAATACAAAAAAAAATAAAAATAAAAACGAAGTTATTACTGTATTTATATTATATGATTAAATGTTACTGTAATGAAAATTTTCTTAAAAAATTTTAATAAAAATTTTTATTATATTTTGTTTGATTTAATATTAAATGAAAAGAAAAAAAAATTAATTTAAAGAAGTATTTAATTTATCACATTAAATTTATTAAATTCATTTAATAATTTTTTTCTTTTTTTTGAAATTTTGATGATTTTTTTTTAATTTAAACTAAAATAAAATATTTTTATTACAATTCTCAATCTTTTACATTTATATCAAATTATTTGTTTGCTTTAGTTTTTATTAAATTGGTTATAAAATAATTTTAATTATTCGTTATAGTATACATTTAACTTACAAATTTACAAAAGTTTTGGAAGAAATTAAAAGTTATATAAAAATAAAAGATACATATTGAATTTTTTTGATATTATTTTGATTTTTATCGAATGCAAAAAATATTTTGTTTAATTTTTTTTAAATAAATTAATTTCAAAATATATAATTAAATACCAATTAAGAGCTAGAAAGAAAGTGCGATTTAAAATTTTTAAATATTTCCAAATCGGAAATATGAAATTTTAAATTTTACAAATTAATTTTTTAATTATTTTTAACACATATTGATAAAACATTTAAATAATGTCAATACATTAAAATTAAAGCAAATTTTCGATTATATTTTATTAATAAATTTAATAAAAACAAAAAAAGTAATTTTATTTCTTATTTTCCTGTGATAAAATATTAACTTAAGTTAAAAATATTTATTGCTCCGAATATTTTGTTTTCTTTGTATTAAATTTTATATGAATATATCTATGCTTTAAGCTAGTATAATTTCATGAATCTGTATATTTTATTCAATAAAATTAAAAAGTTTAACGTTTTTTTTAATTTAAAGTATTTTGTAGGATAACCATAAGATCAATTAAAAAAAAAATAAAATAAAAACAGATTTTAATATTTATAAAATTTTAATTTAAATCAGTACTATATTTATTAAATACTGCTCACTCACGTTTTCTATATTATATTTCACGTTTATTTTGAGTTCTTTTTCTTTTTTAATTTAATTTCTGATTTTTGTATTTTTTTTTTTAAATTTACACTTAAATTATAGTATTTTTTATATACATACATACATAATATATATGTATATGCATACGATAAAAATTACTTAATTTATTTAATTTCACATCATTATTTTGCTTAAACATACATACATTTTCTTTAATTTTTATTTAATTTTTAAATAGATTGTATATTTGCTATATTTAAATATTAAATTAAATATGACATTTAAAAGTTGATCGTTATCTTTTGTTCATTAATTTTGTATTTTTACCGAGAATTTATTTTAAATTTTATTTAAATTAGTTTTATATACATAAATGTATATATTTGTTTTTCTTTTTTTGAATATTGTTAGCTTTAGACTTTTAAAAGTTAACATTTATTTATCAGAATTTATATTCGATTGGGAATAATATAAATTTTTCAAATAATTGGTACGGGTCTTTTTTCAATTCTTTATTTATGACGTATCGTTTCAAAAAAAATAAAATTAAAGTTCTTATTGATATTCTCAATATTATGTATGTGTACACTATCCTTTTTTTTTTAGATTTATTGGGCCTGCCATTTAAATTTGGATACCATTAACCATTGTTGTCCTTTTGAAAAATCACATGGTCTTAATAAAGGTGTTGTTGGATCTTCTCTGCTTGGTCTTTGTAAACAATTTCCAGTATTTGTATGTCGTATTGTTTTATCCTAAAAATTCAACAATATAAAGATTGTTATTTTTTATAAAAATAAAAATTTTATTTAAAATTTTTACCTCTGTATCATAAACCCATTCTTGATTACCACCCATATTATGACATCTGACCATATTGACTGGACCATGTGCATTTGATGCATCCAAACATAAATCATCCGACATAATTTGTTGTCGCTTTGTATATGCAAAAACTTGATTACCACCTAAGCCATGGCAATAACTGACACCAATTTTTTCACCATACTTTCGTCCCATCGTATCTAAACATGTTTTAGTTTCAGCATTTCGAATCTAAAAAAAATGATAAATTATAAATAAGTTTTATATTGTGAACATTTTTTATATATGTATGTTTGTACGCATATAAAAGTTTATTTACCTCTCCTAAATAATAATAATCTAATGGCATTAAACTTTCAGGATAAATATTTTCCAAATACCATCTGAAACTTTTACATTTCAGTCTTTCTCTTAAAGCTTTCCTTTCACTTACATCACCAGCTTGTGCTTTTCGAGCTCCTAAATAAATTTTAATTTATTTTTACAATTTATTATTAAATTTTAAATTTTATTAAAATTTTATTTAAAAACAATTTTTTCGTTAATAAAATTTAGAAACGAATAATGCATTTTACACTTTTGTTTACATTGTGATGCCAATGTAACATCTCCTTCTTATCTCCTTTTCACAATTCTTCATTTTTTTTCTACAAGTTATTTGAATACTTATGGTTAAAAATGAAAAGCCGAAGAAAAGGATGAGAGAGTAATAAGTATGATGAAACGACATTATAGTACAAATATTTTATAAGTAATTAAATTAATAAAAGATTTGTTTAAAAAAATTAAATAAATTTGATCAAAAAATCAAGAGTTTAAGTCTAGATTTCTTTTTCTTAAAACACTTCAAAAATAACTTTGGAAGTAATAATTTTTTCTTAATAAATTAATTTTCGTTTCTGAATTTTATTATTTTACTAATATTTAAATTAAATCATAAATATGCACGTGCTAAAAGTATAAATTAAAAATATATTTATACGTAAAAATTTTTAAAATTATATGCGATGAAAATGTTGCAAGAAAAAACAAAGTATGTATATATATACACATATACGTGTAATATATACGCATATATGTATATATTGGTAAATATGTATAGTTGAAATAAAACTCGTTAAGTAGTGTTACTAAGTGCATGTGAAATTGCAATTTTTCAAAAATGTTTTATTATTTTACATTTATTCAACATTATATGAAATAAAAAAAAATAATACACAAAAATATAAATAAATTATTTCGAATATTAAAATATATTTCTGAAGTAAAATAAAACAAATACATAATTATTAATTATATAATATTTATTATAAAGTTAAAAGCTAATAAAATAAATTAAAAAAAAAACTAAAGTACTAACAATAAGCTGTCAAACACCAAGCAATTAAAGTAATTTTAGTAATTAAGAGAAAAAAAAAACTACAATACCAAAAAGGAAAAGAAAATTATATTAAGTATATTTATTTATAAAATATAGATTACGAAAAAAAAAACACAATTATTTGCAATCAAATTAATTTTGTTATTAGAAACCTGGATAGAAATTGTAGTAAAACTCTTTCCAATCATCCAGCCAGACTGCAGCTAAACGAGCATTATTATGATTAACAACTTCTGTTGTACCACCAGGAAATGTATATGGTGTTTGCTTACGAAAAACATGACCAACACGGGAACATGGTATTATTTCTAATTCACCTCCACATGTCCATACCTGAATGTTCGTTCATTCGTTTTGTTTTTTTTACGAATTTTTGTTTTTTTTTTGTTTTATAGATTTTGTTTTGAATGGTTTAGGTATTAGACATAAATTGGAATTTTTTAAATTAAAAACAGAATTTTATATATAAGCATTATGCGGACACCAGTTTATAATAATTATTAAAAAATAAAAACAAAATAGACAATAATATTGTTTTGTCTTTTTAGTATAATAATTGAATGAAAATTTATGAAACAGTGATAACATTTTTAAATTATACTTTGTACTTATTACTCCAATATTTTTAACTTTAGATATTTTAAATTAACATTTTTCTCTATTTTCACTGTTTATATAAATTTCATTTGATTGTTATTTTGTTATTAAAATATAATGTTAAAAATAAAATAAGAAGCAAAAGAATATCATAAATAAAAAAAGTATTAAATAAAAATATAAATAAAAGAAGACGATAAATAATTAAACGAAAAAAGGATTAAGTGGTTACGTTATAAATTTAAAATTTATTATTAGTTCCTCGTCTCTACTTTTTTTCATATTAAATTGTATTAATTGAAATACTAAAAATTTGGGGTTAATTATTACATTGTACTTTTGGGTAAAAAGTAGAGGAGCAATAAATTATTATTAGTACGTCAAAAAAGAAAAACAATTTTTTTAGTTTCTCTTAGACTGTAAAAAATCACTTTAGTTTATATTGTTATTTTTTGTTCTAGTATGAATTTTCTAAATATATCAATTTTCATAGTTTAAAAATCTTAGTAATACGTATTTTTTTACTGATTTTCAAACAAATATTTGATAGAGATAGATTTCACCCAGGTTAGAAGAGTTCGATACAATTTAGTCACCATATTATTTAGTCAAAGAAATTTAACAAAAAAAAAAGTTATTCAATCTTAAATTATATAACTAACCTAATAAATCGACCTAACATTTTAGTCAAATTACGATGGTTTAAGGAAATGAAATAAATTTAGAGTAATTAACAAATAACTTGGTTATAATAGTTATTATTTAATAAATTATAAATCTTGAAAATTCTCTGAAAGTTTGATGATACAATTTTAAAATTGGTGCATCATTGTGGTTACAAAATTAATAGTTAATGTACATATTATATATAAATAGTGATTTTCTTTAACATAAACGTAATACACAACTTTGTTTCACATTTTATTTGATTTTGAATGAACATTATTATTGAAATCTTTGTTGTTTCAACACGCAATTAAAAATGAAATGAAAATTATACATTTTAATAGTTTTGTAGTTTTGAAATTCAAATGTGGTAATTTTCCCTATTCTTTTTTAAATTATTTTATAATTTTCCTTATGGTACTTTTAAAATTTGTGTTAAAATTTCGAATTTTATTTTAGGACACATTACATAGGGACATTCACAAAAATAAAAGATAAAACAACAACAAAAAAAAAATTAATAAAAATATTATAATATTAATGTCTGGTTTAGTAACTTACGATTAGTAAGAGCTTATTAAAAAAAACAACATAAATTTTAAAACTACACAAATTTTTTAATTAATTTTAAAAATTAATATAAATTAGACTTAGATTGGGTTAAACTAAATTTTATTTTTAGAATACACCTATGTATATAAGTTATGTATGAATATATACTGAGCCCAAATACACTATGTTGTTATTTTAGTAAATTGATTTTTTTTTTTGCATTAGGATAAATTTACTTATTTCTAGCTTACTTTGCTTATTCTTCTTTGTTAAATAAAGCGTTAAAATGAAATGATAAAATTGAATGTTCTCGCAACATCTAATTAACATCATTTAAAAGTAAAAAAAATATTTTACTTTTTTTTTCTGTTGGTTCTTGTAATTTTTTATTGTTTTTGAATAGACAAAATTATGAAATGAAGAAAAAAAAAATGTGTATTAATAAACGAATTTTACGCGAACCTGTACTCATTGCATAGTAAAAATCTCTCCATTCATCCATCCAAACTTCAGCAACACGTGCTGCATTATGCAATACAATTTTTGCAACACCACCTGGGAAAGTATATGGTGATTTATCGCGAAAGACATGTCCGACATGAGAGCATGGTATAATTTCTAATATTCCACCGCATTGCCATATCTAAATTTAGGGTTTGTTTTTTTTTTTATTTTAATGTATTTTTTTTCAGTTTATAATTATAAAATAATTAAAGAATATAAAATAAGAAAAAAGGGAAATATAAAAAATAATAAATAGATAAAATATTTAACTAAAAAAAGTAAAAAAAAAAAAAAACAAAACAAAAAAATAAAAGTATAACTTTTTCATTTACTTTAAAAAGGAAAATCAATTTTTCTATGTCTATATTCTTAGTGTTCAATTTTTCAAGTTCAATTGAAAAAAAAAGGCATTTTCAAATATTGTATAGTTACCCTAAATGACATTTCCAGATTTTCACCGCCCCATATATCCATTCCTTCATCATAAGAACCAATTTCATAAAAATATTGTTTATCTATTGAAAATAATCCACCAGCCATTGTCGGTGTACGTAATGGTGCTGTTCTATCATTATTACGTCGTTCCATTTCACGTTGTGGAACACGATACCATCGGAAATTTAATTTCCAATTAAATCCACCCCATGTTTGATCTGATGCTGTTACATATTCAAATGTTTCATCTGATATTACATCAATAATTGGACAAACAACTGTTCGTCGATTTTGTACGATACGTGCTAATAATGGTTCTAACCAACCTTCTGTACATTCACAATGTGCATCTAAAAATGTGATAACTTCTCCCTAAAAAAAAAAAAGCACAATTGTTAAAGAGTATGATAGATTTAATATTAAAAATTATTTTGAAAATAAGATTAGATGAATTATAACCACGCTTATATATGTATATATTTTATGATTATGAAACAAAAAGCAAAATCAATTACTTACTGAAACATGTTTGGCACCTAAAAGTCTTGCTCTTATCAGTCCAGATCTTTTGCCAGTTCTTAATACAAAAGTCTTTACTGGCAGCGTTGCTACATATTCATCTAATTTTGTTCCTAAATGATCTGAAAATTTATGGTAATAAATTATAATATACAATTTTGATATCTAAAATTACAATAATTTTTTTATTTTCATAGATTTGATTTTGACAGTTTTAAAAAGAATAAGTGTTACCGCCACAAATATTTTATTGCATTGCTATTACTATTGCTAATCTACTTATTTATCTATCGCTTTAAATATACGCCATTTATTTTGTAAAATTTTTAATAATCAAAAACGAAATACTCGAACGTTGTTAATTAATTTACAGATAATTGTATTTAAATTTTCTTTTCAATTAATTTAATAACAAACATTAAATTATCAATTTATGTTCAGAAATAGAAATTTTACTATGAAATTTCAAACATATAAGTAATTATGTCATAAGTTTTGTGATATTTATAAAAACCTAGTGAAATTAACTGATATATTTTGTAAAAAAAAAAAAAAAAAAACAAAAAATGGGAATTTCTTATTTTTATGTTACTATTTGATAATGAAAATTTAGTAGAAAATATTTACTAAATTGATAACATTCTTGTTTATAAAATGTTGTTTCAAATAATTTTGAAACTCGGATAATATACAAGCAATTTAGTAATTTAAAGTTCTCATTTTGAAATTTTGAAAAGTTGCAAAATATTTATTTGAATTTGAATATTGGTACAAGTATACTGCACTTTATTATAAATTTATAAAATATGTAAAAAATATGTAAGTTATCTTGATTATTTAATTATATCTGTATTATAATACTATTTTGTAAATTTAATACCACAAAAAAACTTTGAATGAATGAATGAACTGACATGAATTGGTTAACCACAATCTAAAAATACATTTATAAGGTTATGTATAAATATGTAATTTCAAATTAATATTGCAATAAAAATATTATATTTCTATATATCTAATATACCTTATATTAACAATTCAAAAGTGTTTGATTAAATATGACATTTTTTTATAATTTTTAAGTTTAAATGATCAGTTCCATTGGCAATAATAAAATTTTTTATATAAGCAATAATTTTTACATATACATACATATATAGTATACAATGAAATTTGTAATGGTAACATACAAGATAAAATTAATTTATGTAATTTCAATAGATAATAATAAATTGCTTAACTAATAGTCTATATATACATAATTATATAACTAACCTTTTTCACTAGCATCATCAACTAAAATAATTTCTTTTAAAACTGGTCTAGGTGAACGATTAATTACACTCCATACTGTTCGTAATAACGTTGACCAGGCTTCATTATGAAAAACTATAACTATGGATGTTGTTGGCAATTTCGGTGGATAATATTTATTTTTACAACTAAAAATAAAAAATATAATCACAGTAATTTTAATTATTTATTTATTTTTAAATTTTATTAAGTTTAACATGTATAGCTATACAAGAATTATTCGAAAATTATTATACATAGGTACTTCACTCATAAAAATAAAGAAAATCATGACATACTCATAAAAAAAAAATGTGAGTATCTGAAAATTCACTTGTTATTATTAAATTTCAAATATTTTTAAAATAAGGCCATATAATCCAAGGAAAATAAATTAAAAACTGTAATAAATTTTTTATTTTACTATTTAAAAAGGAGCTAGCGACAAATTGTAAAATTTTTCTTATTTAAGAAGTTTTTGGTATTATGAAAATTTCAGGCTTTTTATACAAAATACTTGAACAATATTGAATACTTTTGAATGCTTTTCAAGTTTGAACCACAATCTTAACAAATATTTTATTCTAAACCATAAACAGAAGTTGTAATAGTATATTCAGTGTATATATTTTTTACTATTTTAACTTGAACTTTTTCATAATGTAAAAGTCTATTTTTAAATGTTGTTTAGTAAATAATTAAGAATTTATATTTTATTTCAGATTTTCTTTTATGTTCCTCTACAAAATATTGCAATTATTTCTTTTATTAGAATATTTTATAACATGCTGTATATGAAATCATATACAGTTAATAAATTCTGTCTAGAAACTTTAACACGCAGATTAAATTATCTTTTTTTTTCCTCTGAACTAAACTAAATTTTTATTTTTGTATTGTATACCCAGTATGAAAATATGTTAAATAACGTAATAATAATACGTAATGCTAGAAAACTCAATTTTGAAAAATAAATATGACTGCGCAGTGGCAGTGCACATTGCATTGCGGATTGTAGGTAAAATAAAAAACTATTTTTTTTCTCTTTTGCAGAGAGAAAAAATAGTTTCTTATTTTAAATACTGTTTTCATATAAAATTTATATTATATTTTTATATCGATTTAATTAAATATAATTACATTTCATTATTATAATTATTCATTTAAATGACTACATCAAAATAAGAAAAAAATTAATATTTAAGTAACATATAATTTTTTTTAGATTGTTAGATTTTTTTTACATGACAATGAATGCATTAATAACATACATAAATGCAAATTATTTTAAATAAAAAAATAATAAAAGATTAATAAAAAGTATTGAGTAATTTTTTAAGTGTTTGATTTTTCAATTTAAAGGAAGAGACTAGATTTAACTTTTTATTTGAATCAAAAAATCAAATGATATCATCTAACTTTTAAAAATGATTTTATATGTATTTCTGGCTGGTTCATGTAGGGTGTTAAATTTTAAGCCAGTTTTTTATAAATACATTTAATAAGAATATTCTTAATTGTATGTTTTTCAAAGATGTTATCGACGAAGGCCGAACTCGAATTGTTGTCTATCTTTCCGTGTTCAAATTGATAATCAGAATCAGACTACGCCGATTTGAAACTGTAGCGATCATGCGAGAAATATTTAAAAGTGATAAAAATACGAAAAGACAACAAAAAATCCACCTTTAAAAAAGTGTTATTTATTGATATTAATGTTAAACACAGCGTTTAATATATATTTTTAAGCTGCTTCTACTGTATATACAACACTTTGTTTTTTAGAATTTATTGAATTCAAAGTGACGTCAATTTGATATTATTGTAGAATTGCTACATTTACCTATTTTCATATATATATGCATAAGTAGGTATGTACACTATACACTTAAGTAATTGATCTATAAACAATCTTTTATGTTTTATTCAAAAATTTAATTTTTTCCATTTTCTTTTCTTTCTTGGTTTTTGCTTCCTATACTTGCTTTACTTCAATTCTAATTCTAAATTACACGCAATGAGAACTTACTTTTCATGTCGTACATCGGCTAAAGAACGATTTATTGAGATCATATCACTAGCTAATAAATTAAATTGATTTTCTTTGAATTTTTCTTTCATTAATTCTTGCATTTCTCCAGGAATTTTTACTGGTCTACCTAAAATAGATAATAACAAAACCAAATTAAATTAATATTATATATATAAGCATATGTATATGCATATACATACAAGCAATGAATGTACATTAGAAAGAATATAAAAAAATTTTAATTATTTATATGTACAATACTGCACAAACTATATATATAAATTGTTATAAAAAAAAAAAAAAAAAAAAAACAAAAATAACACAAGAAGAAAAGCAAAAATATATATAAAACACTTACCCATTTCACCTGGTTTTCCTCTAATTTCTTTTACAGGTGGAACTGGTTTCCATTTTTTTAATACAACACTACGATATGTTAAAGAAACTGTTATTCCATTATTATTATTATTGTTGCTATTATTTATATTGCTGCCATCAGCATTTTTATCTGTATCTATTTCAGATTCATCTACCATACTATCTTCATCGACTAATTTCCCTGATTCAGGTTGTATCTGTAATAAGCAATAAATAAAGATACGAAAAATTAATTTTTGAAGTAAGTATATAAAATAAAAATGTGTAAGTTCATAAAAAAAATATATTATGATATTGTAATTTACATCATGTAAACATTATATTGTATATATGCAGAGTGTTCCGTTCTATAACTGAATGGAGTATTCTCTTTATTAAATTTTTAATTTATTCTCTCTTTCTATATTTTATTTAAATTTAATTATTTAATGACGATTTCAATAATTTGCTAAATTATGTACTATCACAACATTATCCAAAATTCGAAATCGGGGTATCTAGCACATCGAAACTGCAATAATTCTATGTCAGTACAAAATTTAGCGACCAATATTTGTCAATATATTGTTATTTAGTAGTAATTATTATCGCAACTTTGATGCTAGACTAAAATAATTTTAAAAATCTTTCTTGATTTAGATTTATCAGTAATTATATATAAAATAATTAGACTTTTAAATTTCAGGTCTCGCTCGTAGGATTGCTGTAAGCCGTTCATTCAGGAAGAATGGTAAAAAATAAATTTAGTGATCTTACTCTTTTTTCAAAATTGAACATAGATGTTAATTACACGAAAGTAGGTATGATCTTTCAGTTCTTTATGTTGCAAAATCATGTTGATCTATCTTTTAATGATTTAGACATGACGAAAATTGCCATTATTTTATAATATTAGTTATAATCTTCCAAAATAAGTTAACAATATAGATATTTTGTGGTATACTGTGGTATCTACCACACTTTGTAGTTTTATTTTACAATGAAGATAAAGAATTAGATATTTTCCAGACATTTTCATCTTTTAACACAAAGATAATGTCCGAATAACATATAAATATTTTAATACATACTTATATATTTTTATATAATATTATTATATACATAAATTATAACGGGAATAATTACAAAAATTCTTAGTAATCTAATCTAAAAAGAATGTTTAATTGGTAATAAGTATGGATGTCTGATAAAAATAACTTGAATCTTCAAGAGTACGTAAGAGATCGAATACAATAATTATGTGTGCATTATTTGAACAAGTAATAATAATTTCTCGTTTTCAAAATTATCACATAAATACCATATATTTATGTATATATATATATATCTTAAATACCATACCTATATGTATGTATATATATACGTATACAGTATAATAAGTAGAATTAAACGTATAGGATTTTTATTTCATTTAAATGTAATTTTTATTTATTCAATTGTGATCGGATGCAACTGAATAAGCAAATAAAGTTTAATAAATAAAAAAAAATATTTTAAATTTTTTATAATATTAAATGATTTTTCATTTAGTATTGCAATCTATGCGTACAAAATTTGTTTGTGAAATTTTCATTATTTTCACAGCTTAATTCTTGGGGAAATGATCAGGGTTTTCTCATCATTTTGAAATTTGTTTTTTAGCAAAGGACTAGGAAAACGAAAATTTGTGAATAATAATCAAATTTTAAAGTAATTGTGAATAAATTGAAACATAGATTAAGGTTACCACACCTTACTTGAGTTACAAATTGCAGTAAAATTACATTTAAAATGAACAATTTGTTGAAATTAGCTTGATGATACTCTTCTAAAAGAATTCTTGACTTCTTTTATAACGTATTGCTGTCAGGACTAACAGTAAAAGTACATTATGTGAAATTATTTCACAGCTTTTTCAAAGGATTTCGATTTTTGTAAGAGTGGTGTAGATTGACCATTAAGTTTTGCAAATTAATTTAACTTTGCAAATTTCTGTGTAGAATATTACGTAAAAGAAAATGAAAGAATATTACATGAAAGAAAATAAGTTGAAACTTAAAAAAAATTGTCTGGATCTTTTTTGCCATAGGCGATTTGCCATCCTTTCTCATATTATCTCATATAACTCGCGCTAGACAACAGAATATGAGATTATATTATTGTTGTAATTATATTTAGTAAAAGTGATTAAAAATATCTTCATATTATTGATTCGAGATGACAATGAAAGTATACTTAACTATAGAATACAAAAAATTATGTTTACACGTTCGTTTTTATTTCTTTTGAAATATTAAATTTCCGCTATTACGATGTAGTGTTTCTTCATTTCTACATGTGCAAGTTTTTGTAAACATCGATCAATCAAAATAATAAAAAGAAAATAACATTCACATTAAAATTTTTATAAATACAATACAGAAATTATTCAATTCTGACTTCTCATTTTAATGTAAATGCAGTAAAAATACTTTTAAAATTCTAAATCAACTTCATTTATGGTGCAATTTTATTAAATTGAAATTTTCCACGTCAAATATATTTGAAATTGGTTTGAACTTAATGAAAGCTTGGGTAAAAAAGTTTGTGACAGATGAAGAAAATAATTTGACAGAAAATCATTTTTTATAAATTTATTGCTTGTTTTTATTTTTTTAATGTCAATTTAGATGTTTTTTAGTGTTTCTGTTTTATGATAATATATTATTAGTTTTTATAATATATTTAGTTTATTAGAACTTCTTATTCTCGCAAATGATTTTTATAGTTTACTACTCGGCACTTTCTCACAAATGAAAATTCATTTGCCTAAGCACGCTTGTAAAAATTCAGAGTGGTTGCCTTGCAGCGCTTCCACTAGTGCTTATTTAAATATATTAAATATTTTTTGACAACCACATATGACGTTCATTTAAGTTTACAATTAAAAATATGTTGTCGAAATTCAAAGTCTATCTATCAAAGTTTTCGTATTTAAAAGACATTGCCAGGACTATAATGAAAATTAAAGTAATTTACAATATTTACATAATTAACATTACTTACATATTTAGTTGTAAAGGCATTTTTTATGGGCTTATCACTACTTTGCCGCCATTTATTGGATATGACAAATATATTATTGACATAAATTCAAATAATGCACTTTCACTAAAAGTATGTGTATGTAACGTATGTAGCACATATGTAATAATAAAAAAAAAAAGGAAAATAAAAACAGGGCCACAAAAAAAATTTATAATATTATTTTGACTTAAAAAACTTAATTTGTTTCAATAATAATATTACGTTTTGGTGAGTAACAAAAACAAAAATAAAAGAAAAATATTGAATAAAAGAATTAAAAATGAAATGTTTTTTTTTAATTTCATTACATTGTTGGTAAATTCATTTTAAATTTAATGGTACTTACATATCCTACATACAGAAATATCCATGTATTCTATTGTCATTAACATGTTAATCGGATTATTTTTTTCCAACATTCGCTTGTACTGATGTACATATTATATAAAATACTTACTTATATTTGAATAGATTTTTAAATGAATTAGTGAAAACTCGTGTTAGTAATGTACATAACATGGTACTTGAATAGAGATATGTATAGTATGTAGGTATATACAGAGTGGTCCGCTTCAAGTGTCAAAGCTCTCGGGAGATGATTCGTTGGAGTTTTTCTCGGGAGATATTCGGTGGAGGAGTGATGGGGTGAGAGAGGGGGCCGTTGAGTGTAATTGAGGGAGTAGGAGTTGAGAATGCAACTTCGAAATCGTTGATGCTAGAGTAAAGTTTTTTCGGATACTTGCTCGGAGTCTGCACACTTGGGCTTGGGAAAACCCACATACCATGAGGCGTCTAAGTTCCCTCTCACCACCCATAAGGGATTTTTTTTTTTTATAAAAAATTCCAACGAATCACCTCCCCAAAAGCTTTAACACTTGGACCAGACTACCCTGTATATTTGAAATAATACTTTTAATATCAAAAAATGAACAGCAAAAAAAAAAATATCTATTCTATTAAAAAAAAATTTAGCCTTAAAACTTGAAATTTCTAATTTCGTAGTATTATTAAACAAAAGATAACAAGAATTTTTTTATTTTAAAAACAAAATACATTTAAATTAACAATATTTTTTTTAAATTTAAAATTACATAGAGATTTTGAGATATTTTATAAAATCTATTAAATGACTTAATTAAATTGATTTGAAAATTAATTTTAATTAGTTCCTAACCAACTTACGGAAAATGGTATTAAATATGTACTAGCGCCCCCCAGAAAAAATATTTCGTTGTGCATAATTATAAAAATTACCTTTTATCACTTAAAACTTTGCATACAATGATATTATAGTTAATAAATTTTTATATAATTGCCATAATTAAAAAATATTAGTCATTTTTGTAATCTGAGCAGATTAAAAAACTCATTCGCTATATTTTGTAACATTCAAAATAACCTGTGAGACTGTATAGCAGGAAAGGCTTTATTATTTTGAAATCTAAACAATTTTTAAAATGAAGTAATTACATATTTTGAAAGACTAATATTTAACAGGTTTCGAAGAAAGTCCGCTGATGCAAAATATTAAAAATAAATTATAAAATTTTTATTTTTTAAATAACTTAATATTTTTAGGATGAAGAAATTAGTTGGCATTGCCATAATTAAATTGTAAATTAAATTGTTAACGTTCATATACAGACGTACAATGTGTATGAGATTCTCGAAGGAATTACAAATTATTACCTTATATAGTACACTATAACTATAAAGAATTAAAATTTATATCATCATAAGTATGAGAATTAGAATGAAATTTTTAAATTCTTTTCTTTTGACCGTAATTTTGAAAATTTTTTCCTCGATAAACATATTGTTTTCTTATATTAATTTAAAATAGCAAAATTTGTTCTTCGAATTGTTAGTCAATTTTTTATTTAATTTAATTTACCAAAAGAACTCTTTTGTAAACAAAAACGGGAAATATTTTTTTCAATATTAAAAGAATAAAAGACTAAAAATTTCAATATCGTTTTTATAATATTCTATTTGCATTAAAGTTATTTTCGTTACACCATTCATTTATAATAAAAGGGTGATCATAAAGGTCATAGATTTTTCATTTTAATATTAATTTATTTATTTTTTTTAATTTATTAGCTACACTTATTTAAGTAAAATTAAATGTATACTTTGATGGTCACCTAGC